CAGAATTCCCCCGCCAGCAAGGGAAAGGCTGGCTGGGGGATTCTGGGGGGTGGAGTCCACACGTCTTAAAGTGGCCAAGGTTGAGAAACACTGCATTAATGGATTTGGAGGGAGAAAATAAAATTGGGTAGAGCAGAGGGCTGGAAGGCACCAGGGATGCACCCTTGCAAGTGTGGGTCCTGCTGGGAAGTATCTGAATCGAGTCATCATGAAGCATCGGAGTCTGCCAGAGCCATCAGCTTCTTCTCAAAGTTTTGGTGACTCGGATGGCATAGCTCCAGAGCCAAAATCATACTCCCTTTCTCCTGCGGAAACTCATCCTTCAGGCTTTATTTCTTCTGCCTTGTGAAATGTGCACCTCTTGACTGGTCATTGGCAGCTCGTTATATTTTAGGGGAAGGAAAGGAGGGCTCTGAGCAGGTGTATCCCCAGGATATGGTCAAAAAGGCTAAGGTGGCTATGATTGCCCCGTGGCTCTAAAGATGCAATCGAAGGGCTGTTTTTTATCTGCGTCGCCCAGTTTAGGCATCGCAGAAAGGGTTAAATTCACCAGGCAAGCAGCTTCTCAGCGACAGGCAGTCATCCTTTAAGGGATCCTCCTCTCATTTACATGTCAATATGGTAAGAGCTTACGAAAATCCTTTGTACAGTAGTCCTTGCTTAACGACCATTTGTTTAGCAACCGTTCACAGTTACAACAGTGCTAAAAGCTACTGATGACCAGTCCTCGGGCTTACAATGGTTGCAGTGTCCCAGGGTCACGTGATTGCCATTTGCGACCTTCCCAGCCAGCTTCCAGCAAGCAAAATCAATAGAGAACCATGTGGTTCACTTAATGACCATGTGATTTGCTTAACAACCGTGGTGATTTGCTTAACGACCGATGCAAAAAATGTTGTAAAATTGGTCATACCTCGCTTAATGACCACCCTGTTTAATGATGAATTTTCCAGTCCCTATTGTGGTCGTTAAGTGAGGACTACCTGTAGTTCAATCAAGAGCTCAGGATCACTTGGGGAAATTGGGAGTGGCAACAGGGCACGACCACCTCTTCCCTCCTGCCCCCATCTTCCCTGCAAGACATTGAGGGCTGTGGGCCTTGGGACCCAATTCATTTCCAAGCTGTGAAACGGACGCTGTCTGACCCCTCCGTCTCTCTCTTCCTGGCCAGGTCCGCTGGGCACAGCGGCGAGCACACGCTACGGAGCTCGTCCGGTGGTCATGCTGGGCAGTTTATTCTCTTCTTTGGGAATCTTTGGGGCCTCCTTCAGCACCACCTTACTCCAGTTATACCTCACCCTGGGGTTCCTGACAGGTGAGTCGGACGGCCTCTGCTCTCCTGGTTGCTCCCGGCCCTTCGGAGCGCGTAGATCCGCACCCAGTTTCATGCCCTTTGGAGCCTCCAGGGATGTCCGCGGGGCATGATCAATACGGTCAAGCTGGCTGCCGCGGTGTGGTTGAAGCTCTGGCTCTCTTTATGCGCAATGCGTCAGTTGTGCTCTCGTGGCCGCTCCACAAACACCCTGCCGGCCTCTTTTCCATCTCCTTTTGAACAGATCCGCAGGGGGCTTCCTTCTCTCCCTTGTCTCCCTGCAGGTTTGGGCTGGGCGCTGGCCTTTGCCCCCACCATGGGCACCCTCTCGCGCTACTTCTCCTCCCGACGCTCCCTGGCCATGGGGCTGGCCCTGACCGGGAACGGACTGGCCTCCTTTGCCCTTTCTCCTCTCCTGCGCCTTCTGGCTGACTCACTTGCCTGGCGTGGTGCTTTGCTGGTCACCTCCGCCTTCAGCCTCCACCTGTTGCTCTGCGGGGCCCTACTGCGGCCCCTGGCCCTGCGGGGGGACCAGCCCAAGCTGAGCGCCCCCTTCGATTTGGGCCTCTTTGCCCAGAGAGGCTTCGGGGCCTTTGCCCTGGGCACTGCCCTGCTGGCAGCCGGATACTTCACCCCCTATGTTCACCTGGATGCCTACAGCCGGGCCCTGGGCGTGGGGCCCTACAGAGCTGCCTTGGTGGTCTCGCTGGCCGCGTTGGCCGATGCCCTGGCCCGGCTGCTGGCCGGCTGCCTGGCCGATCGGCATGTCCTGCCGCCCGTCTACCTGCTGGTGCTCTTCAACTCCTTTGTGGGGGGCACCCTTCTCTTCTTGCCAGCCACGTCCTCGTATGGCAGCCTGCTCACCCTGGCCTTGCTCTATGGCCTCAGCGCAGGAAGCTTTGCGACAGTGGCCTTTGCGGTCTTGCCAGAGCTGGTCGGCGTCGCCCGCGTAGTGAATGCCACGGGGCTGTGCCTGATGTCAATGAGCGTCGGTGGATTGTTGGGACCCCCCCTCTCAGGTGAGAAGAAGAGTGGTCTTGCTGACAGCTTCTTGGGGTCCCTCGGGGTCCCTGTGGTGCTGCTCAGCCAGCCGTAGCTCTGGGCAAGCCCTGTGCAAGATGGGCTCAATGCTGCTAAATCAGTGTTTCTCAAACCTGGCCCCTTTTAGACCCGTGGGATTCAAATCCCAGAATTCCCCCACTCCCCCCCGTGGCTGCGGGGGTTCTGGGCGTGGGGGGCCGG